TAGGTAAACGCACGTAACAATAGAACGACGGGGTTATGCAATTAATTTCTAAGCAACAGTTCGGTAAACACTTTTCCGCGGCAACAGACACCAAAGCAATGATATTAGAACGACGTTTTCTATGTAGTCCGTGCCGAGCTATTACAAGCAAGACAGTTTCAAGGAACAAGGTAGTTAATAGAAGTTGTCAGCAGCTCAGTTGAATGAAGTGACGTGAAGTAGCTGGTTGGTTGAGAGAGTTCAGTTGGAAGTCAGCCTGTGAAAAGAAAACTAGGAGGTTGATATGAAACAGACGCAAGCCTGGGACCCAGTTAATTGTCGGCCGACAAGAGATATGCAAGGGCGGCTGTGACAAGAGGGCCTGAGTGCGGAAAGGAGAAGAATCTCCCTCGGTAGAAGCCGTTGCCAGGATGCGGCTAGTGGAAACTATAGTAGACTGAGGACAGTAGTCTGTATCAATGAACTGTAAAGTGTAATTCCAAGTTGTGTATACAAGTGGTCAATAAAAACAATGTCCGCTCTATACCCCGACTATAGTCACAGAACCCCTAAAACGTGTCAGTATTATGTTCGCCCGAAACGTAATTAGCTCTGTTTTCTAAAACGTAGAGGTCTTAATAAAATCGGAAGATTAACGAAGTTGGAGTACATATAAACTTCTGGGATGTGAGGCTGTGTAGCGACGGAGATGTTCGCCGACGTTTCGGAGGAACGAACTGCTTCCATCTTTAGGTTAGGGGACTTGCTAATCAAGGAGCAAGAAAGTTTAAGCTGATGGTGCTGCTCGTTCTTGCTTAATATATCTTCGGCCCTGAAGATGTATATAGCACGTGCTTCCGAAACGACGGCGAACATCTACTTGATTAAATGACGTCACATCCCAGAATAGAGTATGTACCTTACAAAATATTATTTTTGGGAGTAATGTATGTATCTTGTATGTTCTATCACTAGAACTGGAGACAACTTTTCAATCAATCATTCATTCATCCGTGGCGCTACAGCCCTTTGTTTGGCCTTGGCCGCTTTCTGAGTTCTTAATTTTTTACACAGGCGGTAGGGCTTCTTTGACGGGGGATCAGCCCGTCGCAAGGCCACTACCTACACACAGGGCACCACAAACAGAATAAACGCATAGAGCCGTCCATTTTTCGAGTGGGATTCGAAAACACGACTCCAGTGTTCGAACCGGGGGAATACAAAAGTCAAAATTACCGTCAAAACAAAATTACTTATGTAAAATCTATGTTTGAAAGAGAACGACATAGAAGGAGACTGGCTGATCAGTTTTGTAACCGAAAAGAGATTGCTGAGGCTGTATTTGAAAACAATATGATCACCTTGTTTCTTACTAAAACAAAAACCTAGTTACTAAAGGCGTGATTGGTTAGGGAATATCTCCCATATGTGTTCTTGCCGCACTGTTACTCCTCGGACCTTCGTCGTGATGGTTGGACGAATCCATCCGTGGGTCTGTACTGATACCGATCAGACCTGGATCATGGGTGCCGGGCAGCTGACCCACATTCTGACCCCACGCCTCAGTTCCGGGTTTGAGCACCTTGTGTCCACCCGCTGCCTCCCTGAATTGTTACTGCGGTGTCAAAACAACGACTTTGTCCGGTGGCAGTTGTTTCTGACACCCTCCTGGCAGTTGGTTCTTTTGATTTTGGGATGAAGGTTCAGTTGTTCGGTACAATGATCAAATGAAACACGGAAGTCTGCGAAAATATATTTTTGTCCATTCATTGCAATATGGAACCGAATGTTGGCTATTTTCTGTTGGGGCGCTACATGTGGGCTTTTATTTACGTATTAGACGAAGCCTATAGATGCTACCCTTTCGGTCTGGAAAGAGATGTCACCAATTGATACAGGGGGTTTATAAATGTGTTCCAGAGTGGCTGAATATAAAACGGTTTCTACCCCTCATTATATTCAATTCAGAGTCTTTGGTGTTTATAAATAAGCAGTAAAATTTGAAAAAGGCGATAAATCGTCATGAATATTGTTCTGGTTTATGCTAATTGTATACTGAAGTCACTGGCTTCCTCCGCGTCAGAATTCTAAAATAAAAAATTATTTAGACATATTAGTAAGAATTCCTTAGATGGGAGACTGACACATCGCAACTCTCTTTCTACACGGGGCCAACTCACTCATGGAGCTGAGCCCTTCTGAGGAGCCGCCAATTCTGCAGCTACTAAAGAATTTTCCAGCATTTTATGGAAACCGAAGGTTCATTGCCGTGTTCACAAGAGCCCTCCATTGGGCCCTATCCTGAGCCAGATCAGTCCAGTCTATTCCATCCTATCCATTTTAACATTGTCCACCCACCTACACCTTGGTCTTTCCAGTGTTCTCTTTTCTTCTTGCTTTCCCACCAATATCCTATACGCATTCCTCTTCTCCCCCATTCGTGCTACCTTCTCTGCCCAAAACAGAAAAACAAGGATATAGAACCGAGCTGCAGACTGATTTGATTTGAAATCCGCGATCCTAGTGTTTCAGCAGTCAAAGGCCGTGCGATCTGCACAAAGGGTAGATAACCAATAATGAAACTTGATGGTAGAAATTACTTGAATTTAAGCTAAAAGGGGGATATGAAAGAAAAGAAAGGTCTGCACTACTCTGCCATTCCCCCCAGTACAATGAAGTAAAGTCCTTTATGAGGAAAGCAACGTAGAGACCGAAGTCCTGTTGTACATGGCGGTGTGGGTAGCTGTTTCCCTCTTCCCACCCCATTGCTGAGATAGGGTTGTTCTTTTACCTAAGCTCATAGCCATCCGCAACTGTATTTTATGTATTGGTATTATGGACATTTCTCGAATACTTTCTTCATGAATTCTTGGAACAGACCTTGACAGAACCACAAGACATTTCTTTCAAAGAAGCTTAAGACACGTGAAGTTCGCACATTCAACTTTTCTGTACACCCTTCTACGGTTCTCTTGCATTTTAGGGGAAGGAAATACGGGATCGGTGTTATTGATAACAGATAATTCTTATTAATTTAAAGAGAACAAAGTGATTAACTAGAAAGCATAATTAATAACAGGATCCTTACTCGTTTGTAACCTCATATAACACATCTATCCTCCCACTTTTGTGCAGATATTTAAAAGCAGTTTTGGAATAAGATTTTTAAGATGTTTCGGAATAAGAATATGAGCAGTGAAGCCAAGACGTTTGAAGTGTCAGCCAATATGACCGACACAATATATCTCGAAGTTGTTAGCGAAAATATACAAATTATTTGTGATCTTATTTTTGACCCTTGCTGTAGGTTTACCAAACAAAACCGTGTTCTGAGATGTGACGCCATGTTATGTGACAGAGGATTACTAGCGTTACGAAGTAAACTTCTGGCGCCGTCTCCTTCTATCCTGAAGATGGAAGTAGCAGGTTCCTCCAGAAATTTCGTTAAATAACTACAGGGATACAGAAAATTGTCTACTAATTACATAATGTGACCAATACGAATAAGTGAGCTTACTGTGGCAAAGTTTATTTTAAAAAATTATATTTTTCCATAATGTCGACACCACGAAGTTTATTAATATATGTCATTTATATATTTTGTTAACTTAGAGACGACCGAGGAGCACTGGTTGGCTGCTCAGATGACCCTCCGTCTGAAGACCATTCTTTCTTCTTGGCACTACAGCCCCAGTGGGCCTAGGCCCACCTCCATGAACTTCTCCGTTCATTTCGGTTTTTATACATCTTAGACATACGGTAGGACTCCTTGGGCGGGTGATCAACTCGTCGCAAGGCCTCTACCTGTACACAAACACAGAAAAACGCACACGAACATCCATGTCCTGAGTGGGATTCGAACCCACGATCCCGGCTTCCGAGCGAGCGAAGACAGTGCATGCCTTAGACCGCTAGGCTACCGTGACATTTTAGCTATTACAAATCCCACACGGACAAGTGTCCTATATTGAATTTTCAGATTAAACCTATTACGAAATTATTGTTTCTTCCCACTCCAAGAACATGTAAAAGACGAAATGCGTTAGTGTTACAGACTTAATTTTTACAAGTTTTATGTTCGCTTATAAATATAAAACCAGCCTTTGATTACGGGTATTCTTATAAGGACAGAGGGTGTTGCGGTATCATGTCAGTTTATGTATGCATCATTATAAATATGCCAATATATTCTGTTTAAAATATTGTGTAAAATATTGTTTACATGTCGACACTAAACACGACGGCAGTGGGAATGTTCGAGGTTAATTTGTAACAGACTGAAAGTAATCAGAATTCCGTAAACTGGTGGAACCAGAAATAACTCACGAAATTTCTTAATTATTATTTTATAATTCTTCCTGATTTCTCAATACAGACTGAAAAGTATGAAGTAAATAGTTGAATGTCCACTCCAAAACTTGTTTTATAGCGTAAAATATAAGAATCCTTGCTAGTAGATCCCAGTAAAATGAAACCACAGTGTATAAAGTATCCGATATCGTGAACATTCTAATACGTACAATTATGGAAAACACACTTGATACATAATAGTGCAAATTAAAAAGAAAAATTGTAGTGGCCTTTACTGCAATTCTTCTTGCCATGTAAATTTATTACATTTTGCTGACACGTTTGTGGCAGTATTCACAGTAATAATTAAAGATGGTGGATCAGAAATTAGTGTTGTTTGAACAAACAACGTACAGCCAATAAGAGTATGGGAAAGAATAAGGACATCAAGGCCTACAAGATGTTTAATGAAAATATTGTTCCAATACAACAATTTTTTACTTGAAACCGCTATCAATCGACATGACGACCAAGTTATGGGTTCGACAAATGAGGATTCGGAGTTTCATTCATGGCAAAGGAAATACATTTTTCTCTTCTCTGCAACGTCCAGATCGATTATTAGGCCCACCCAGCCTCCTGTGCAATGGTTACTGGGGTGATTCTCCAGGGATATTGTGGCAGGGGGTCTCTGCTTATGAGCAAAGAGTGATTATAATTTTTGTTTCTAGATGGTGGATACCAGAACACGAAACAATATGAACACATCTTCTGGGCCTCTGACCAGTGAAAGCGTTTGCACAGTGGTTCACAGTAATTACAGAGACAGACTTATGTTAGAAGTAGATTCTCTCAGCGGCATTTGGCAGCATTCTACTCAGATGTCAGTTGTCTCCGTGGTAAGTTCAATATATTATAATGCAGGCATGTCCAACCTCAAACACGTTGTGATCGACTTTTTAGTGTCAAAACTGCCAGTGATCTACCAACCCTCCTATTGTCGTACCTCGCTTTAAGCAAAAATATTGGTAAACATAACATGAGACATGATGTTTGTTGTAAAAGCAACATATATTGAAAGTACAGACTACTTTAACACGTATTTTCCTTTCAAAATCTGAATATAATCATATTATATTACAAGTGAATTTACATGCTTGTCACGTATAATTCCCTTATAGTCCTATGAGATCGACCAAAAATCTTCCCGCCATCGACGCGTTTGACATGCCTGATATAATGCATAACCCAGTGGTTCTCAAACTTTTTACCTCTGAGCCCCCCCTGACAAGAGAAAATACTCTCAGGACCCAGCCTGTTTTTTATCAAAATAGAAGCCATTGTATGTTTGACGTTTTATTCGGTTTATTTTGTTTTTTTCTACATACTATTTAGCAGTTTTTTACTCAAAATTAAAGTATCACAATATTAGGCCTACAATAAAAATTAGTTTTAACACTTGCAATTAACCAAAATATGTATTGAAATGAAACGATATTAAAACTAACAAGTATTAATTTTTTCTGCAAAGAAAATCAAACATTTAAATGTCAAAGTTCAGTGTGATGGATGGGCCTGCTTTTGAGAACAAAGTTTATCAAAACGTGGTGTAATATCAGAAATGGCCACTCTAACTTCTTTAGCAATACTTAGCCTTGAACGATACTTTGACTTTATAGCTGCCAAAGTAGAAAAGTCTGTCTCGCATAAGTAAGTGGTTGCGAAAGGAATCACGATCTTCAATGCTTTTGGGCTCAAAGTTGGGAATTCCTTGCCAATATGTATCCAGAACTCCAACAAAGACAATTCCTTAAATGTACTTTTTAATGAAGTATCACTAGTGAGATCGGTGGGTTGTTCTTGCTCATTTACCTTCAGAGATGGCCCAGGAGCATTTTCGAATGGATTTTTTATCCAATTCAATTCATCGAAATCATTGCAAAAGTATTTCTCGAGATGAACTTTCAACATTATGATATGATCAAGTAGGCAGATTTTTATGTCCACTGGAAGCACTGGATTATCAGTGTCTTGTACCATTGGCACTAGAGTAGGGAACATGTCTAGCATGTCACTTTCCATACTGTTTCTCCAGAGCTCTAATTTTCTCATGAATGCCTTCACTCTGTCATTCCAAGAAAGTACAGTTGCCTCATTCCCTTGAAGTGAAGTGTTGAGGATATTTAGTTTCTCAAATATATCTGCGAGGTAAGCCATTTTCAATAAAAACTCCTTGTTGCTGAAACTATCTGCCAGTGAGTGATTTTCCCCATTTAAAAAACAGAACACCTCATGCCTCAGCTTAAACATTCTCTTTAATACCTTGCCTCTTGAAAGCCATTGAGCATCACTAAAAAACAACAGAGCAGTGTGTTCGGCACCCATTTCCTCACACAGCATTTTAAAAAGTCTAGACTTCAGAGGATTTGTCTTGATAACATTGACGGTTTTTACAACCGTCTGCAGCACTTCATGAAGGGGTGGGCTGAGTTCTTTAGCTACCAGAGCCTCCCGATGTATTATACAGCGAGTCCATACTGCTTCGTGAGCAACAGCTTTAATATTTGTTTGTAATCCAGCACGGACTCCAGATATTGAACGAGCTCCATCTGTACATATGCCAGTGCATATATCCCATGATATCCCATTTTCATTAAGGAAAGCATTAATCAAGTCGAAAAGGCTTTGAGCTGTTGCTGTTTTCAAGATAGGCTCACAGAAAAACAATTCCTCTCGCATATTATACTATCATCAAAAAAACGAACGTACGCAATCAAATGAGCATCTTTATGAATATCAGTCGCTTCGTCCACTTGAATTGCAAAGCACTTGTTATGCAACTTCTCAATTAAATGCTGACGCAAATTGTCAGAAAAGTCTGAAATTCTACAAACTGTGTCATTAGAGAGGTGGATATTTTTCAAGTGTTGAGCAGAAGAGTCACCTAACACTGTTGATACTATGTCAATCGCTGCTGGTAAAATCAGTGTTTCTGCAATTGTGTGTGGTTTCTTGTATTTAGCATTTCTATGAGAAACCTTGTAAGAGCCTAAAAGGGCCTTAGAAGTCACATTTGTTGTTTTAGCAAATTTCTGTTGGGTGGACTTTAAACCACTAAGCTTTCTAACAAAAAAAAAATCTTTTGGTTTATTTGTAAACTTCGGATGTTTGGTTTCAATATGTCTCTTTAATTTATTAGCTTTCGTACTGTCTGCAGCTAAAATACTTAGACAGATTACACATCGCGGACGTTCTTCATCAATGATCACACTTTTCGTAAAGCCTAGTGATAAATAGTTCTCATCGTACCTTCTTGTTTTCGAGTAGCTTCTTTCCCACCACTAGTTGAAGGAGCACTGGTGTCTTCATTTCTGTCACTAATCAGGAAACGCTTCATGATCAATTGTTCATAATCAAGTCAACTTCAAGAGGTAAACAAATCAGCACAACTGCACTGAAACGTTGAAGTTTTTCTATATGTATTTTTATTTTTTGTTACTTTTCTAATTGATTTAGGGCAGTTTTAATTTTTATCTGTAGGAAAGTATGCTGCGCTCCCCTTTCAAGCCCTTCGCCCCCCCCGGGGGTCGCGCCCCACATTCTGAGAACCACTGGCATAACCAACACAGAGAGGATAGTTGTACGAACACAATAGTAAATGAACGAAAGTTTTGAGGAATAATTAAATTCTATGAGAATTAAGGGCATAAAATAAGTACAAAAAGAAACGAATGATTAAAATACAAAAGTAATACGTTAAAACGATATTCACACAGATACATTCATTTCATCCTCTACTGTCTGAGTATATGCGAAGAGATTAAAAAATAAATTTAGACTAAGAAATAGTGAACTTAGCATAAAGAATATAATCATGTAATCTAAATGTAGACATTTCCTTCATTACGCTATGAAAAATAGTATTTTCATATTTAATAAATAATAAGTATAGGGAAGACCATGCAGGAAAATGCAGGGATAGTACCTCAAGCAGGTCACAACCGGTTCCTTCCAAGTCTTTTCCAATTTATTAGTAATCCCATCATCCTATGCTATGTAGTTTCAATATTTAAAGCGTCGTTAAATAACCAAAGAAAAAATAATCCCGGTGGCAAGCTCAAACCGCACAAAGGAACTGCGCATGTTTGCAGCCATGAACACACAATCGCTCAGGCAAGCATATCAACTGCAAAAATTACTACTCATTTTCCCTACATTTACAAAAGGTAAAGGTAAGGATATCCCAGTAACAGATCGTGCAGGCGCATAGGGTTGTGAGATGTCGAGACTCACATTTCTTTAGACTATCGGTCTACAGATGGCGGTAAAGTTGTCAGCCTTATGTGCTGGAAGCCATTTATCCCAAAGAAAGATTCCTGGTACTCATTTCTGTTAGAGGCTGAGTTGATCCCAGGGCTGTAGTGAGGCTGGAAGGTTTAGGTAAATTGAAAAAATCCACATCGTTTGGACTCGAACCTGCTACCTTCCGACTTGTGGCATAGTGGCTCAACCAACTATGCTACTGCATGCCCCATCCCTAAATTTACAAGATAATACAATTTGAAAATTACGAGTATATGTATACTTTTCTTATAAGCAGTTTGCTTCTTCCATGTATAAAAATAGTTTCACAGAATGGAGAGAAATAGCACATTAACAATTAAATGAAAAGCATAAAGATAAGATTTATATTTTTGGCAAGCATTTTATAAAAACAATTTACTCTGCATTGTAACTATAGATGTTACATGAAGTATGCGCGCATGACATGTGCTATATGATTGAACAGCATTCTGATAAAATAAGCAGGAGCAATTTAAAAAAAAATTCTTAACAAATTTCTGCTTAACAATTTCTTCATTTTGTAATCATGTGTACAATTTTAAACCTATCATAAAATTTTACACTTGAAAATTTTGCCTACTTTTGCACTGGGCAGTGTTTCAACAGTTTTACATAAAATTTTCCATTACATTGCGTTTTTTATTTTCTTTATTTTCAAATTATTGTACCTATGTGTCACATGCATTTTAGTACATATGTTGTTTAATATGAAGCTTCTTAAATAATATGAATTGTTTAAATTGTTCTAAATTTCCTAAAAATTTCTGTTTTTATGTTTTATAAATTCTGGTCATATCCACTGTTTTCACTCTACTCTTTGCAAGCTACATGCAATTTCAGTAATGTAAATTATAACTTCTATGTAATTTTTATTTTTCAGAAACAAGAACAAATGGACATTGAACAGCGTTCACACAGTCCAAATAATGATTCTGGCATTTCACCTGGCCATGGGTCATCTGGAAGCAGTGCTGGGCGACCATCTCCTGGACAGAGTGGTTCATTTGGCTCCCCAGAACATTTCAATGCACAAGAAAACCAAACAATAAAATCTGAACCTAACACAGATTTAAATGCTTCGAGTCAGATCCCAAGCAATCAGCAGCCTACAAGCCAAAATACAGCTCAAGTTTGGGAGATGAATCTCTTAGAGAATTCTCACAGTCAATGTATAGTGCCTCCATCATTGAAAGCAGCAAGCAATCTGAACTTCGGAAACAGTGTACTGAAGTCTGCATCACAGACTTCCATGCCTGAATCAGACCATTCTCATCAGCAACAAACCAAAGTTCCTTCGTCTGAAAACCACATAGCTGAAAACCGCACTCTCAATACATCACCGCTACATAGTTTAAGTTCATTGGTTACTCCTGTGGCAAACAGAAATCCTGTTGCAAATCAGAATATAGTTTCTCCAAATCACTGTGCCCAGGGACACATGTGTGATTCACCTGTAAGAATCTCAACACACAACAATATGAAGACGCCTCCTATGCATGTTACAAATGCTACTCCAGGACTCAATCCTGGTTTTTCTGATGATAATAGTCGATCATCATCAACATCATCATCTACCTTGATGCTAGATGGGGGAAATGAGAATTTCAAGATGACGCTCCATGAAGGTGAGCAGAGTCCACTCAGATGTCTAGAGATGACTGTGGAGCAGTCTTCTGTCATGGGTGGCATGAGAGCTGCAGTTACATCAGGGCCTGGAGTTGGTAACAACGGAGTGAGAAATGTATACCAGTGCCCTCTTTGTGATTACACTACACTCTCAAGGTAAGCGAGACGTTTTGAATGTTGGATGTTAGTTCAGTAAGAAAAATTTCTTTCAACTTTCCATTTAATTGCAAAATAAAAATTGACAACATTTGTGATGCTCATGTGTATTGTGTGGTAAGTTGCATAAACATGTGTTCAACACCTTCTAATTTTATTGTTTTTAAGTCCATTAATTTCATGTTCTGTCTTTTAAGGACTGACTTCAATGACCACAATAGAACACACTGCCCTGACCAGAAGTGTAGCAAGTGTGATTTTGTCACCAAAGACATAATAGAGCTTGAAACACACCTTTGTGAAAGTCATATGCTCACTCCAGTACTTGCTGAGCAAATTATTGAAGCTAATGAAGAACAGTCTGGTATTCGAGTGCCACGGGTAAATTCTCAAGGAAAAATGAAGACTTTCCGGTGCAAACAATGTAATTTTGTTGCTGTGACAAAGATGGAGTTTTGGAATCATTCTCGATGTCATATCAAGAGGGAAAAAATGCTAAACTGCCCAAGATGCCCATTTGTCACAGAGTATAAGCACCATTTGGAGTACCACCTACGAAATCATGCTAACTCAAAGCCATTTCAATGTCCTGAGTGCTCCTACAGCTGTGTCAACAAATCAATGCTGAACTCCCACCTCAAGTCTCATTCAAATGTGTGCCAGTACCGATGTGCTACATGTGACTATGCTACAAAATACCTCCATAGCCTCAAAGTTCACTTACGTAAATATGAACACAGCCCTGCTATGGTTCTCAATCCAGATGGTACTCCTAATCCAGATCCAATCATTGATGTCTATGGCACTCGACGTGGTCCAAAGCAACGCCCCAGGAATATAGTAAAATCTATATCTAAGGAGAAAAATAATGTTCCTTTACCTTCTCATGCACCCTTACCATTACCTATATTCCAGCCTTCATACGGAGTTATTTCTCAGCAATCTGGAAACCTTTCTGTACCATATCCATATGGTTGCATTATGCCTAATCCCTTTTCTGCTACCAATAACAGTAACTCTGTCCTATCTGAATTCCCACTAAATGGTGGCGTAAGCACACAAGGCCAAAGCAATAGTATTCCTGATTCAAGGAGAAATTCATCCAATGAAAACTGTGATCATTTCCTTGCAGCCTCATCACAGTACTACCATATGAATAATAACACCAATAATAATAACAATATTGTCAACAATTCAAGTGCTTTAAAGGAAACAGACCCTGATAAATTAATCCAGAAACAGAATTCCAAAGACACAAGCAAATTAGGTACTGGAGAGCATGCACTGTCTTTTAATAATAAGGCAGTAGATGGTGATCCACTAGATCTTAGTAAACCTGATGCAATGGACATCAGTTCAGAAGCTTCTGTAACCTATACCACTCCATCCATATTACATAAATCAGCATCAATGAAAACTTCAAAGCATCGACGCAAAGGCCAAGCATATAAGTTGGATCATATCTCACGGAAACTCCAACAACAGACAAGTCTGTCAGACATCGAACGAGCCAATATAAGTTACTCTCACGTGTCAGAAAGTGAAGAGAACCCTCTGTCTCCTGAGAAAATAGATAATCTTACAAACCCACATCCTACAAAGCAAGAAAATATGCACAACAACCAACAATCACAGTCAGAGATGAGGAAAATGAATGAGGAATTTCCAAGGGCTGAAGGACAGAACAGAAGTGCTCATGAAAAGAATACCTTATTATCTAGCAAACCTGAAATGTACTCTTGTGATCACTGTGACATAATCTTCAGTGATGTTATCTTGTATAGCATGCACAAAGGTTACCATGGGTACCAGGACCCATTCAAGTGTAATATGTGTGGTGTACAAACAGCTAACAAAGTGGAGTTCTTCCTCCATATCGCACGCTCCTCTCATTCTTAAAAGTGTGAATTAGAGAAATTACTATGTCCGTGTAAATTTATATGATGATTTCTGACCCTTTTTTTCTAGTCACTTCCTTGATAGGTTACCAAATGACGTTAGTCCAACAATGACTAAAGATTGACCTAAATGATTTGTGAAAGTATAATTAGTCTAGTTCAGTGAGCTTTACTTTAACTCCTGGAAAATGGAAGTGAGTATTCATTTTAAGATAAAATGTACCCCACCAAATTTTGTTCATATGTAGGAACATTGTTTATTCCAAACTAAATTAGTTATGTGGCATATTTGGGAGAAATGAGCAGTTCAGTTTATAGCAATGATTCAATTAATATTTTGTCATTTCAGTGCAATTTATTTTAATTCTTTGTAGCTCAAAGTACAGTGGCCAAGCTGCTGATTGAGCAAGATTCAATTTATGGCACAGTCAGAATTTTTTTTTCTTACCTGTTGCACCCACCTAACGTGTACCAAGAGCTCTCTCCTCAGGTTCAGTGTGGCCATAGTGTGATACTGACATCTCACCTGTATCTAGTGCAGTTTCAGAACAGTGAAACTGCACCTCCATGGCACAATGCATAATTAGCCGCAAAGCCTTATCTTCATAGAATGTTGCTTAATTAAACACAAGAATAGTTCTTCCTTTACCTTATTTTTTGTTAATTGTTTTATGTTCATACATTATCAAAATAGAGGGGTACTATAAACGATTCATTCATTTTTAAAACGCTATATTTTCCAAAGCAATACACGTACAAATATGATTTATATATAAAAAGAACCGTAAACTCAACAAGTTCTCTTGACACTCTACAAATGTTCTGTGTGTGCCCCTTGGCTCACACGACACACGTCGAGGCGGTAGTCGAGCTCGTTCCACATTTTGTAGCATCATCCTGTCAATGGTCATCACTGCAGCATCGATGCGTTCCCTCAGCTCTACTAGTGTTCTTGTCAGTGGGGGTACCTAACACGATCCTTCATGTACCTCGAAGAAGTCACAAGGCGTTAGATCAGGTGATCTGGGGGGCCAAGTGAACAGAGCTACGTCATCCTCACCAACAAGCCCAATCCAGCGATGCAGAAGTTCATTGTTTAGGTAGCGACGAACATTGCCGATACCACCGCAAAATGCTTTGTTCACATGGCGGTTCTTTTCCGTAATCTCTTTTGAATGCGCGTTGCACTGTTATAACAGCAACATCTCGCATATTCCAACAAACAAAAACTCTTTTCTTGCTTTGTCGCCATTTTTAAAGGCACTGAACTCCTGCTACCAACTGGTGCACATGGTAAACTTGGTGAGTTTATGGTTCTTTTTACATATAAATTGTATTTGTATGTGTCATATTTTGGAAATATTGCTTTTAAAAAACGAATGAATCATTAATAGTAGCCCTGTATAATTTCGAATGAATGTGCCAGTTCTAACTAGATTTTCAGAATTGTATATATTTATATTTTATTGATATTAAAATTGTTTTATTGACCCTTCTTTTATTTGTCTCCTTGAAAGCATGAATACGGTTTAAAATCTCATGAAACCGTGGCAGTATGGTTTTAAAAATTTTTATAAAAAATAATTAAAAGATCTTATAATTTAGGGCATAATATATCGTCAGGAGCAGAATTAGAAACATACTGGAATCAAAAATATATTTCACTAAGAGAAAATGGATATCCTTAATATGCCAGCGAAAATGATAAAACTCCATTTTTATGATTAGATCTTTTGCATATTTTGCTGGGGGTTTAGAGGAATATCTATGTTCATTGTAGCTCATTGCATGCATTTTTCTAAACATTAGAAATATTGGAACCTAAAGAGGAATTTACCCAGAATATTATGCAACTTTGTGAAATACTGTTGATACTATTTTGAAAAGCATGACAATAGTCTATTATTTACATTTTTTTAGTGTTTTGTTTATTTTTCTGAAATGATTTATATTTATATGAAAATAAATGGCTTTCAAAACTGTTTATTTTCACCATAATTTTAAAATTTACAAAAATTGTGTATACATTCACCAACTACTCTATTTTTCTATTGCTGAAACTACAAAATAACTTATGACAAATCCGTCCCCATTGCTCATATTTACAATTTAATAAATGCTTGTTCTGTTTCACAGAAAATGTTGCCCTTGGTTTGAGGTTGTAATGCTTCACATTTCAGACAGTAATAAGATGAAAGACTTGAAGTTGCACATACTTTGCACAAATAGTGTAAATCATTATTAAGAAGGGAAGAAAATGGGCATTGTTCAGAATAAATTTTACCAATAGAGGCCTTTCCAGGTTCTAGGTTCTGCAGTTCCTTACCTGGCTGAAAACATTTATCAGTTCTATTGTTATTTGGTATGTTGGGGACTGTGTATTTTAAATGATTACATTCACAGTCTGACACGTGCTGCTTTCATGAGACAGGCCGAATTGTAGTTTTTACAAGTTTTGATAAAGGTTTTATGAATTCAGAGATGACTAATTACTACTGTTGGAAGTATATACATATACTATTTTCTTGTATTTTCACATACCATCTTACATGCAGCTCCCAACATGATCACATTCTTTCTTGAGTGTTCCCACGCAGGAAAATACACACTGCAATTTCACGGAGTATTTCTATTATACATCTCGCCCCCATAATTCCACGTAAACGCATTTCATTACAAAGATTACTACAGAAATTACAAAAATCATTTTCATCACGACCCCACTCTCGTCTCATTACCATAAAACATGAACATCTTATATAATTATTTTTGCAATGATCCAATTGTGAAAATCCCAATTTGCCCTTATCAAGTAAGAGAGAAATAAGATTTCTTGAACTGGAACACGAGAAAAGTATCTCTTTACCATTATTTTCTACGACCCAGCGTTTGGAAAAACAGACCGAATTTGACGATTACATATAGCAATTCCTCTGTATAATCACTTCGTTGTTGGTAATTACACGTTTCCATTTAGTTCTAACCACTATATTGAAACCCAAAGTGTAGTCATTGCGTGTATCTACAGAACCAACCTTCAATGCACGGTGGAACCTCAGTAATCCGAACTGAATTATAGTGCTAAAGTAGAAAAAAAAAACGAGTGGATTCTTTCACACGGACTGTCCCTGAACACAGCCACTAATGCACTTACACGAGCACTGCAGAGCGTAAAGAAACGGAAAAATATTCTGTGTTAGAAACTGAAATTCTTTCAATGCAGCAAACACAAATTATACTCCTCAGTTTCTTAGAGTTTCCATTATTTTGTCCATCCAAAGTAAAGTAGAATTTACTTTAGGACTGTTTACCGCCAATCATTTCGTCTTGGCGCCAAGCCCCTTGAGACAAGCATTTCTTTTTTCCGACTGAGCACTTGCGGTCATAGTCCTTATGTGATATCCATTCTGACGAGATGGGTTTGTATCTTATGAATATGTTTGGCCTTTATGAAATGCACGTATCGCAATTATAGCATGTTATTAAAAATTCTTCCTTTTATACTATATAGAGGTCCTCTGTCAGTCCATGTCCAGATTTGCAAAGCAGATCGTGCCTATCTTACGTATCGTTTGCTACAACGGCAGCTTAGTCATCTGAACGGTGGTAAGCTTGACCACGCCAAATTTACGCCTCCTATATTTCCTATGTATCGCTATACTTTGTCCTATACTGCGAACATGTTAATTCTCAGGATTTTGCGTGACTTCTCCTTGTTGCCTGCACAGCTTTGTTATATAATTGTATACATACGGAAGATTGAAAGCCGCCTACAAATTGCAGGCCGGTGCGCACCTTTGAAAATTTCCAGTGGTGCAGAGAACCTTGTTTTGTAAGCGTTGCAAATTTAAGTGGTAGGCGTCTACCCCTAATCCCAGGAGGTGCAAGCATATGTCACTACTTATATCTAATCAGTGCCCTATAGACGGTAAGGCCTTGGCTTCATTTCTATGTGCAGTTTCCATGTAATTCTCTTAGTGAGGATCACTTTTGAATAAGGAGTATATTCTAATAAATGATCTGAAGGCCTTGGATTCATTCATTTCTATGTGCAGTCTTAATGTAATCTTCTCATCGAAAATTACACCGAGATATTTTACTTGTCCATGGAAAATCAAAGTCAAAATTACTTTGACCGACGGTTGGCCGTCAATCAGTTCATCTTGTCGCCAAGCTCTTTGAAACTCACTGCCAGAGATTTCTTTTTCAACCAAACCACTGCGGTCATAGTTCTTATGTCACGTTCTCTGACGAATAGAAGAGTTTCTCTTATGAATATGCTTGGATTTTTGAGGAGTGTACGTATTGCACATATAGTAAGTTATTGAAAATTCATCCTTCTGCGCTATATACAAATCATCTGTCAGTACAGTTTTGCAAAGCAGATTATGCCTATCTTACGTATCTTATGTTACAACGGCAGGTTTGTAACTTTAACGGTCGTAATCTTGACCACCGCCAAGTTTAAATCTCTTATATTTTCTATATTGCCTTGCTTCGCCTTTTCTTACATGTTCATTCGCACGATTTTGTCCGCCCAAAGTCACAGTTACCGTCAATAAGTTCGTCTTTGCGCCAGGTCCCTTGAGGACCACGACCAGAGATTTCTTCCCCAACTGAACTCTAGCGGTAATAGTCCTTATGTAACATCCTCTCTGACGAGAAGATGGGTTTGTCTCTTCAAGAATATGCTAGGTCTTTCGTCAAATGTTCGTATCGCATACACAGTAGGTTATTGAAAATTCATCGTTTTGCATTACACACAAGTCCTCTGTCCGTATAGGCTTCACAGAGCAGATCATGCCTAATTTTTGCTTAATGGGGTGTGGAGTCCAACTGGGTCCACTCGGTATGGCGGCCACTGATTGGCCTATTGTAGCCTGCCCCGGGTGATTATGATGATGGAGAATTTGGTGGAATGAAGATTGGCAGGGGAAACCGAAGTACTCAGAGAAAACCCTCCCCGGCACCACTGTGTCCACCACGAATCCCATTTGACCAGACCCGGGATTGAACCCGGGCCGCCGCGGTGGGAAGCCAGCGACTAACCGCTTGAGATATGGCGTGGCCAGATCATGCCTATCTTATGTATCTTATGCTACAATGGTAGCTTCGTCATTTGAACGGTCATAAGTTTGACCACCGCCAAGTATTGTCCGGTCTAGTTATATAGCCTCGGCACAGACCGCATAGACTACAACGTGTTATAGTCGTTTACCGGCCGTTGCGTATCAACTGCTCCTTATTTACTGACGTCTTCGCTTGTTTACTGTGCCACTGCCTAGTAATGGATGATGCCTCTTGTTAATTTATTCCAACATGTCGCAATATTATTATTTGTTACTGGACCTGGCTCTTCTATGTGGTGACAGGTGCAACTCGGTTATCACTTGCCCGCGCCCGGAATGTAGTCGAACATCCACGGTGCAGATCTGTGCTCGTTTAGGTGTAAAATATAAATCTTTTGAAAAATAATATTAATAACGATTTGAATATTTTGTTTGTTTTCCAATAATCCGAATGATTTCCTAGTCCGAATATTTCTTTTTATTGCTCGTGGGGTGGGACTAAGTCCCTTGTACTGCGGCCACTTCTGGCCTATTGTACCAGCCCCACATGATAGGCGAGGGTGATTGTGGAACACTGGTGGAATGAAGATTGGCAGGGGAAACCGAAGAACTCGGAGAAAACCTGCCCCAGCGCCACTTTGTCCACCACAAATCCCACTTGACCAGAACCGGGATTGAACCCGGGCCGCCGTTAATCCGAATAATTAGTTCCGATTGTCGAGGTTACGCTGTGTTACTTTGTTGCTTGTCCAGTTTCATTCTTCACTCATCCATAGGTATAATGCACATTTATCTGCTACAGGGGAAAAAATTCCTCTAGAAGCAACCA